TTTACTATTGAGTTAAGAATATGTGAAATGATGTGCAAAGCACAACAACATTTGTTTTCTGTTCGAGAATAAGGTTCGTCCTCCAAATTGGTAACTCAAAAACCCAAATATTAGAAGTACATTAATTAATGCTTTAAACTTCCTTAGCTTAAATATACAACTCAAACGTCTAGTTTGCTAAAACGAGCATTTTGGGCACACAAAAAATTTTCCATGTGAGAAAAATTTACGAATTTCCAAATCACATACTCTATTTTCAGTTTTGTTGCACGTCCTTGGGAAATTCGTAAGATCAGCAGCATTGATGTTTTGGATGCCGTTGGCAGTAACATTGTTGTTAGCACCCGCACCAATGAAGTCTTGCGTATTTTGCCACGTGAAAACGAAGAGGTCAACGAAGAATGGTTGGCTGACAAGTCACGTTTTGCCTGTGATGGTTTGAAACGCCAACGTTTGGTTGCACCTATGGTTCGTATGCCAAATGGTGAATTGCAAGCTGTTGAATGGGAAGGAGCTTTGATTGCCGTCGCTAAGGCTTTGAAGAATGCCAAGGGAGCAGTTGCTGGCGTTGTTGGTCAATTGGCTGATGTGGAATCAATGGTAGCCCTTAAGGATTTGTTGAATCGTAACGGTGCCGAAACTTTGTGTACAGAACAAGGTTTTGCTACCAAGGGTGCTAGCACTGATTTGCGCTCGAACTATGTTTGCAACACTTCGATTGCTGGTGAGTTGATTTTAGTCTTAAAGTGGCTCTCATACAATTTAATTAATTCAAATATTTTGTATAGCTTTGGAAGAGGCCGATGCTGTTTTGTTGATTGGCACCAATCCCCGTTATGAGGCTCCTTTGGTTAATACCCGTTTGCGCAAGGCTTATGTCCACAATGAATTGGAAATTGCTTCGATTGGACCCAAAGTTGATCTCTCCTATAAACACGAAAATTTGGGGGATGATGCTGGTTTGGTGTCACGCGTTTGCCAAGGTTCTCATGCCTTCTCCAAGGTTTTGGAAGGAGCCAAGAAACCAGCCATTATCGTGGGTGCCGATGTTTTGGAACGTCCTGATGGTTCGGGTATTTTGGCCACAGTCAGTGCCTATTGCAAGAAACTGAACAAACCTGTATGTATTTCAATTTTTATAACGCGATAGAACAAGGTTATCATTTCTGTATTACGTCTTTATTAGAACTGGAATGCTTTGAATGTTTTGCAAACAAATGCCGCCCAAACTGGCGCCTATGATGTTGGCTACCAACCCGGTTATCAAAATGCCATTAAGGCCCAGCCCAAGGTATTGTTCTTGTTGGGCGCTGATGCTGGCAAAGTTTCCCGCGATCAATTGCCCAAGGACTGTTTCGTTGTCTACATTGGCCATCATGGTGACAATGGTGCATCTATTGCCGATGCAGTATTGCCAGGTGCTGCTTATACTGAGAAACAAGCTACCTATGTCAATACTGAAGGTCGTGCTCAACAAACATTGTCAGCTGTTTCACCACCTGGCATGGCCCGTGAAGACTGGAAGATTTTGCGTGCACTTTCTGAAGTTGCTGGTGAGTTGTTCGTTTGTGGTCTCACTGTAGAGTCATTGTGTGTTCTGGTTAATTTTGGGTCATGAATATCATAATTTTTAATATCTATTAGTGACTTGTTTCTGCGTCCTACGAATTAGAACTTAGCTTGCGTACTGTAATGAAGATCTCAAAATTCTTATTGTTCATTACAAGGACTTTATTTAAAAAAATCTAAGGTCGATCTAGACATGTATTCCAAACTTAATTGTGTTTAACTGCATTTCAGGCACTCCCCTACCATACGATACCCTCGATGAATTGCGCAACCGCCTTGAAGACATTGCTCCCCATTTGACTCGTTGGGGCAAATTGGAACCAGCTGAAACCTATAACGGTGTTGCCGATCAAGTAGCTGAGGTAAGAATTATTACTAAATTTGCATCATTACATGTACCAATTCAATCGTTTTTCGAAATTCTTTGCAGACCAAATCCGTTGATAACACTAAGATTGATATTAAGCTTAAGGAACTGCGTGACTATTTCATGACCGATGTTGTATCCAGAGCCTCTCCCACAATGGCCAAATGTATATCAGCTGTAAACAAACAAAATAGCCAACAGAAGCAACGTGCTGTGTGTTAAATCAAATGTATAGAAGCGAAAAATGAAGATGTGTGTGTGTTTGAAACACTCGTAAATTAAATTTAAATAAAACAAGTTAAAAACAAACAACAACCTTATTAAATTTAATAACTTTTTAAAAGTTTAATGCTCTTGTCTTCTTCAATAAAAAGCTTAATGCAAACTATGATACACAACGCTAAACATATTCAAAGTATCTACTTCATTGTTAATATGTAGTATTTAATTAAACGAACGACAACAGCAGTGTTTCGAAATGTTTTCCTTCAGAGTCTGTGTCACCATCAATAAATAGTTGAATTTTGCGGTGAACAGTTTTGTTAATAATTTCTTTTTAGAAATAATGTGTAATGAAATTGGTTTAGAAAACAAATAAATTGATGGATTTTAATATAATAGTAGAAAAAGGTAGTTTTCTTATTCGAACCTATAGCTCTGCAAATGCATTACTGATTCGTTTATATTTACATTGAATGGGTCAGTATGTTAGTAAGTATGATTATCGAATTAACCACAACAACCTGTCCAGTACAAAAACATGCGTAGCATTTTAACAAATATCCTAATGTTGATCCAATTACTAATTCTAACACTGTTGGCATAACGAAAGACTTATTACTACAGATAAACGGACGTCGTTTAACGGAATTAAATTTTTTCGTTCCATTTGTAGCTACCCACCATATTATGGCGAGTCTATAAAAATTGCTATATGCAATAGAAATGTACTCTGCAACATGTTATCCTGCCTCTACATGATATAGCAATAGCAAAATATTCATGAATAAATAAATAAAGAGTAATATTGAATTACCTTAATATGATCCCAGACTATTGGTTTGAGATGAAATGTTTGTCGACAATAAATCTCATCTTTAATATATATATTGTGACGGGGACGTACTCATAACCAAGGTGTTTAAATAATAGTTTGAATAAAAGTCCAAAGTGAACCCAATAATACTGAACCGAATCACGTGATGAGGGCATGATATAAAAGCTGATTATGATGCCTGGATGTACTCAAAAGGTCCAGTGTTTTTAAGACTTATTACCTAAAAATGAGCTATTATATGATACATCTAAATATCCTGCAGCCTGTAGCATAGACTGTAACCTATTCATTCTATATGGGTTATCCAGAGATAACATGTCAAGAAATAAGATAGTTTATCCTACGCATATAATCGCACTCAGAACATTAATGCTTAGTTCCAGGGCTGCAAGAATGTAAACATTCTGACTACGATAACCGTTTTCCCCTCTTTGATATCGAACAAAACAAAACTTGTAGATTCTGGAACAGAACATTTTAAAGATATCTTTCTACTAGTTTCATAGCAACCCATGTCCCAAAAGATAATCTAAATCAGACCATGAATCGGTATTTTTCTTAAATTCGGGGTCAATATGCTCAGATAAAATATATAAACACATAGAATGGATTGACCTGTCTTACCTTTGGAAACATCTTCGGATCCATTTATCCATCTTCTATGTATATTGAATTTTTGCCAATATTGTGTTATTCACACGAACAAAGCAATGTACATTGTCCAACAAATCTAAAATAGCACAATTCTTAAACCATGTATTAATTTAAATCCTAATTCTTATAGAAAAAAAAAACATTCAAAAAACTTAAATCAATAACAGCAATTTACTGAATGCTATCCGATTCCTGATAAACACTTAGGATATTATCAGATGCTTCCATTTTGATGATAAAATTGAGATACTAGTTGGATGAAATTAGAAAATTCAGCAAAGTTCCAGGCAAAATTAAAACAAAATTTGGATTGAAAAACAAAAATTCTGAATTTTTGCCCAGAATTGTATTTTATAATTTGCCTTTGTTATTAACAGGGTGACAACGCAAAAATTTAAAATTGAATTACAGGAAGACTCAGTAAAAACTGTTATTTCAAAAATGCCATAAAATTAAGGTTTATGCAATAGCACAATGAATAGGAAGTTTATAGGAAATTTATATAAAATAGTCTTGTAATTTAAGTAAAACGTATAGTTAGATCGCCTGGACAATGCAGTTAAAGTTTTCAAAATACCATAAAGGATGCAATCGTTATATGGACGTAATATCAAATCGTGAACATATATAGACAGTTTCATACTGCAAGGATTGCTATCTCTTGCTAGTCTTAAATACGAAATTTTAAATAAAAAAAATAATAATAATAATGGAAAAATTGGGCTTTAATCATCGAGAAACGTAATATCGGAATCGTTATAGGAAAACCGTGAAGAAATATGGACAATGGGAGGCTATAGTACGTGGTCCCATATGGACAATGTTTGGACGCCGGAGTCAGAACCCATTTCAAAAACCAAACGTTTCCGTGGAAAATGTAGGTCATAAGCATATAAATGTGAAATTATAAGGAGAAACGACAGAAGAATTCGAGTGCGACATCCCTTTATAATATGTCCCAAAATATGACATGCGAAAACTTTCAACCTTTACGATCTTCGTATAGGGTCACCGAGTAGGCAAAATCCTGTTATCTACTATTCCTTTTGAATGAAAAGAGAGATAATAATAAAAATATAGAGTTGTCAGCTGTACGAACACTTTCAGACACTGTTCGGAAATAGTGAAAATTGGAAATTGAAATTTAAATGCTCATATAACACTTTTACAATCATGCAGGTTCTGGAACAGAGCTATTATTACGTTACACTTTGAATTTGTAGAAAACATGAAGTATATCAAATTTATAGCATTTTGGATATAACTGTTTTCTTTGACTTACCCTGTAATTTAAATTTTGTATATACTCGCTCTGTTTATAACAGATTCAAGGGATGCGATACAACACTGGCCGATGAACGCCAGCGTTGATAAAAATCTTAGGCAATTTCGTATTCAATTTTTTCTGGCAATTTTTGTGTAAACTTTTTAACGGCAGAATTTTCTAACTTTCTCCACCCAATATCTTTATTTCACCCTCAAAATGGAAGCATCTGGTCATGTCTTGGACATTTACCCTGCTAATGTAACGCGTCCAGCCATAATAAACTTTTCATTTCCATACAAGTTGTGGTTAGTTATAAACTTGGATTTTTGGGAATTTCTTCGTTGGAACCGCGATGGTACTGTGATTCTTTTGGACTTATCCGGCCTGGAGGAGTACCTCAATTCAATGCGTTCAATTTTTAAAATAAAAAATTGCTCGGTATTTTTGAAACATCTTGACGAATTTAAATTTGAACGCCTCAATGTTCAGCTCGAGGCCGAGGAGGATATACTTTTGCAATATAAACATGAATCATTTCAACGCTACCGTTTGGATTTATTGGCCAATGTACGTCGTGATGGCTATGCAGATAATGGTTGTATTGAAAATGGAGACGACAAAGAGGGATCGTGTTCCAATAGGGCTGAAAAAAATCCGCAGTTGATGCTCTCAAGAAAAGTGTCTAGTCGTATGCCGGGTGATTTATGTTTCATGTCTCATGGCTGTTTGTCACAAATTCAAAGGAGTCGTATACGTTTTCAAACTATTTTTAATTTTCAAAATGAGGCTGCTTTATTACGCGATAAACTAAGAGTATCCGATGAAATTGCTGAACGTAATAGACGGAGCTGTTTGACAAAGACTCCTACACGCATAACCAAGGCAGCTAACGACAATGATCAAGTTATTGAGGTATCGGCTGATCTTTATGAAAATCCTCACGATTCGGTATTACATTTCGCTGATGACTTTCGTCCGGAATATGCAGGTTATTATGGAAATGTTAGCAAGGAAATGCTGCTGAACTTTTTCGGTGAATATCTGCCGACCTATGCAGATGGAACCATGGAAGTGCAGAAAATCATTGCGGATAGCAGGTTGTTTACTTATTTATATATTTATGGAATTTATTGTACATGTTCCGTTTATTGTACACTACACATTGGTACACCAATTCATGGCCACTTATTTGGGAGTAGCTCCCGAAATGCAACCGTTACTTTTTATACCTTGAACCATTCCGTTTGCAGCTGCTCAAAATATTTAGGACAGAATCGCTCATTTACTCAAACAAATCAGTTTCGAATTTTAAGTTGTCGCTATTTGTAGTGTTCGATAGATATTAGTGTTAAATTTCTGTGCAAGATCAAACAGGGTGTGAAGTTTTTCAGGACTTAGATACAAAAAAGAAACTGTATCTTCTTGAGTTCTACAGATATTAACATGGAAATTTCATAAAAAATTAGATTCGTAGAAAAAAACTTGCTGACTATAAAAAAATAATGAGCGATATGTTCATGATGAGAGTAAACTTCTAAGTCAACTTAGCGTTATCCGCCTCTTACAGACATGATATTTTTATATCCTACATTACTATTTGTTGTGGTATTATAAGTTTGATTGGGCCAAAAATTATGCAACACCTCGAAATATTGCTCCCTCACATATGAACCTATATATGGATCTTCCCATCTTGCCGAGCTGAGTCGATCTGTCCATAATAATTTTTAATCAAGCTACAGTTCGCAATTATTGTCCGGCCAGAATAGAATCCTATTGTTTTCGGAGATGATAGCAAAATATTAAGGGTTTAAAATTGACCAAAAACAGACATTTTTTACGATTTTGTAGTTGCCATAATTATAGGCCAATAGACGCGAAATTTTGCATGGGTTAGAGTTTAGGGCTGGATTTGGGTGATCATCGGTCAATATTTGGCGGGTAAAATAAACCATAACATTTATGTTAAAAATTCGACTATTTCCACTAAACATACATTAAAATACATTAAAAGATAACTTTTGACCATTAGCCAAGATATCGAATATATGGCAAAATAGTTCAAATCTATGTGTAAAAGAAATTGATGTTGTTCCACTTATGACACAATAACCGTTGGACATTCTCATAAATTCGGAATGGTCTCTTGCCAAGAAAGTATAAAATCTAAGAAAATCGCGTAAAAATATGACAATAAAAAAGTGAATATTTTTTTGTTACATTTTTTTTTAATTTATGTCATATTTTTTATCTCGTGCATTTTTTCAAGTTGACTTACAATTTTGAATTGTAAATTTTCTAAAGATTTCCGTCCGATCATCACGAAATTTTTGCATAGGGTAGGGTTAGGGTCAGAATTAAAGTCTATTATCATGGAGATCCTAAATGTGGTTTAAAGACCCAAAAAAAAAACTAAAATTTTCCTGATGTTGGTCACAAATGAAAACCAATCGACACGGAATTATGAGTAGAGAGTTAAAGGCAGGGAAGAAGTCTAGCACTTTGGATGACTATTGGATTATATGTAGCTGTAAAATGGACCACAACTTTCCTGTGAATTATTTTTGAACACCACGAGCGGCGTTAATATTGGACAAATGCCTCGGTCAAAAACTATAGACTTTGCTTACTTATTTGGAAATAAGATAGAAGGCTTAAGTTTAGCATATCTGTGTATTTCGTCAGTAGACAGTTCGTAATTGGGTCATGCCGGTCCACGTTTTTGCTAACGTCACTTCCCCATATTCTCTCGCTTTTGAAGATAAAAGCCACATTTCAAATAGAATTTCTACAGCTCGGCATTTAGAGTTCGTAATGGGGTTTTACTACTGGTATTCAATATTTACCATAGATACCATATATAATATTATGTATTTTAATGATTTCAATTTCAAAAGAAATTGTTTCAGGCCTATCAAGAAATTGTCTATGTAGATTCACGATTTGATATATCAATATTACGTAACCACCCACTGCATTCTTCACCCAATCTCCCCGGCATTGATTGAGCTTGTTCCAATATTTTATCCTCATACGAACCTAACGCTTTTTTGACTTGTTTTTAATCATTTTATGTAGGGAACAGTTCCAGAAGTAAAACTCCAATCTTTGTCAGTTTACTAAAACAATTTTAGCTTAAGTTATCACTTTTCAATGAGTTGCCACTTTATGAAGGAGATACCGAAGAAGTCCACTGTCAATAGTCATCTTCGTATTTGACGTATGTAACTCTGAAACAAATATTACCTTCATCACTTTATGTGTTTTTTCATCACTTTTTATGTTTATGTTTTTTTTTTTTTTTTGAAAAGTTTAACTTTTTTTTGGTACCAGAAAGAGTGGACCGAAGGTTGAAGCAAATCGATGTCTTGTTTCGCATGTTATGAGACTTATATTTATTCCAAATTTTGATCCCTTGTGGAAGAGGTTTCAAAAGAAGAGGGCTAATAAATCCCATATTCACATCGCATGTTTCGCATGTTATGAGACTTATATTTTTCCATAATAGTATGGAGGGTATATTAAGTTTGTCGTTTGTAACACCTCGAAATATATATTTTAGACCACACAAAGTATATATATTCTTGATCAGCATAAAATTCTATGTCGATTTAGGACGTCTATCTAACTATGGAAATCACTCTGGCTTCCGAACGAAATTAAGTAGATTGATAAAATTTTACTCAAATGTATATTATGACTGCAGGACTTTTGGTATTGAAAATGGGCCATGTAGGTCAACGTCTTCGTATAGCCCCCATATAACAGTACCTCCCTATATTCGGTATTTAGATTATTTTAGCTACATTATTCACCGATTTTTTTTTTCCAAGTTTCGCATTCGAAGATTGTATCGATTTATGACAAAAGTTGCCCATACAGGTCCACGGATACATTCGGTATTTTTAAGATTTCAACAGAATTTTTATTACTTTTATATATATATATATATATATATATATATATATATATATATATATATATATTTTTTTTTTTTTTTTTTTTTTTTTTTTTTTGAAAATGGTCAAATTCGTTGCAAATGGTGGAGAGTATTCGACTGAACTTACAGCTTTTTTATTTTTTTTTACTTGTCGAAAAATGAGTTAAAGAAACCGAAGATATTGATATAAAGGAGAAGTTAAAGTCGACAACATTGGTATCTATCTACTTTGATCTCGTCGATAACTTATCCACAAATTTCGTTAATTTCCGACATTAAAGCATTATAATTTTAACGACTGTTGTCGGTAACTAAAAAAATGAGTTAAAGAATTCCATTACATATCTTGTGTTGGTAGAAATATTGGGACATGCACGGTTTGGAAAGAATCTGATGCCAATTTTGCTTTTTGAAAGATTTATGATTATTCAAAATGTTGACCCTTTGTGAGGAAGGTACCAGAAGGAGTGGTCCGATCTATCCCATCCTCATATCAGACACAGAGTTGGTGAAAATATTAGTCATTTCTTATTATCGTGATTATTAAAAATAGTAATTTTCAGTATAAGATTACCTGTGTTAAGTTTTGTCGAGATTGGTTCATATTTGGATATAACTCCCATATATATTTGTCTTTAGTTTTGTTTGTTTAATTAAGTTTCATCTGATTTTGTTTTTAAGCAATGATATTTGGTTCGATAGTTAATTTTGTACATTCTACTCAGTCTTATTTAGTAGAAATCGATTAAGATATAACTTTCATAGGTTAGTTTCAACCGGTTTCAAATTTAAGCCAAGCTTAAGCCATAATAAGCAATTAATACTTCAATTGCCAAATTACTAATTACTACTACATTTTCATAGTGGTGTTGGGTATCATAAAGAATGGTACGGTTTGTATTATATGTTGTTGAAATCGTTTCAGATGATTACAGCTGACCTACATTGTTTACCCAACCCAATTCAAGAGAGCACCCAAACTACCAAAATGTTCATGCAGGCACGAGACCATTTCCCTCATATACGCCCACATGCTTCATTACTTATCAAACATTATTTGGAAACCAAGGATAGACACTCTTGCCAACACACATATTTTCTCACAACACCATTTAAGATTAGTGGTTTATTATTTTTAATTTCAATTGATTACATCTATTCCTAGCGCTAACAAGGCAGCAATTACCACTGATATCAATACTGAGACAGTTATTCCATCTGACATGACAACTGCAACTTATACCAATTACGGATCAACTACTTCCACATTAATTTCAAGTGAGGACTTTCAAGCAATAGACGATTTGCATTTTACTTCAAGCTTACAGCCAATATTTAAAACTGAAGATGAACAGAAAAACGTTTACGAAAGCCCAACCGAATTTCATATTTTCTCAGAAAATGTTGCAGTCGATGATGTAGACACTGAAATATCCATGGATGAATTTCTGAAATTCAAGGATCCTTTGGCATTACACTGTAATGATAACATGGAGATGAAAAATGGAAACGATAATATTGCTAACAATGGAACGCATTGTGATGATTTTCTTAAATTTAAAGATCCATTAGAATTCGAAGAAAATAAGGAAAATTTTAACGACCAACCTCAATGTTCTAAAAATTCTGCAAATAGGTGCCAACCACCTAAGTTAAAAATGAATGAAGATAACAACAAAGAGGACGAACAAAATTTTCGTAGCTTTTTTAGACAATATAAGGCTTCCCTTAATTTGTTGTACGATAATTAATTATTTTATGATTACTTTAGTTTTCTATTAATCATTGCATTATTATATGCTTATTTTTATTGGTGATTAACTTGGTCAGCTTTTATTTATAATGTTCACAAAAACAAATTTGACTCACGTTCTTTTATATTTAATCCTTCAATAATTGGTTTCTCATAATGAAAATTCCATACGAATCATACTTTTTATGATAATTAAACATTTGTCCATCTTATTTTTTTTATTGTAATACGTTAATCGTTCCGATTAAAAATTGTTATAATTATTATGATAATCCCTTTGATTGTGGTGAATCCGTATTTAAATTTTTTGTAATATTGTATGTTGTTAACAATTGATTTAGTATGTATTTGTATTTTATTAAATTACGATTAATTGCCTACTATCCATTAAATAATAAATATTTTGAATGTTATTTTATCGTACTTAATTTTTAAAGGCAATCAAATCTTCAAAAAGTTTTTAACCTATTCTCATAATAAGTTGAATCTATGTTGTAGGATATTTCAGGTTTTTTTTTGGCTACACAGGGAATTTAGATTGAGTTCGAATAAATTTCCTTACAGTTTTTGTGCTTTGTTTTAATAGAAAATTAGAATGCGAAACGTCAACTAATCCACTATTTGATGCACCTAATATATTGAGAATATTTAACACCTGTTGTACCCGTAATAAATTTCTTCAGCATCATATATGATTCTGTTACATTACAGTTTATTTTTATGGACATTGTTTATAACCGCCATCGAACGCCTTCGATTTCAATGACAGTACTAAATATGCCACACCTATCAATACCATGCTTGACTTTAAAATAACATTATTCTTTATATTCGTAGTGGGTGGACGTACGGCTCGTCTGGTTTGTTTTGAGAATCCCTTTTGTTAATATTGTTTCCTTGGGGGACTGTGTAATAAATGTCACCCGGTTTTGCAGCCGCGGAAGTTAATCTGCTACATGGTTTAACTAAAATTAGAATTTTATTGGTATTCGATGCCAGAAGAGACCACAAAACAAGTTGAGTCCTTGGTTTATGATGCCACAAACTAGCATGTCGAGTGAACAGTGGTTTCGTGGTTTATTTGTTAACTGAAAAATATTTTCAATTAAGGAAATATTTGAATTTGTAAAATTACTTATTTAAAAAACATTTAAAATCCATAGCGAAGTTAGATAAAATCAAATAAGTAAATATAGAACTAGGAAAATTAATTGAAAATAGGTATTTCTCTTTCCCTAACCTTAAAAACAGTTCGGAGAATCGTGAATATCAATAAAAATATTTATATGTATTTATACAAATTTAAAGAAACGTCATAAGATCTTAAAGATTACAGAACTTAAACAAAGTCAAAGACATAAAATATATAAAGATGGGAAATTTAATTGTTGGTTTGATTCAGTAGATGGCGTGGCAGTAGAAAAATGTAATGTCATCAAATGACACCATTAATTATAATCTAACAGGCGTGGCACTGATTTTTATAGATCCAACCATGGTAGAAGAATATAGGTAGACACATTGACACAGCTGCTGGGACAATGAACTGTCAAACTATTATTGGAATTGAAAATCTTGAATGAAAAATTATTTAAATTTGTGAAAATTGTTGAAAACGCGAATTATAATAACCTCCGAATGACGTCGTATAAGAAAACATATACATATCTACTTTTATTTGAAAAAAATACTTTTGTTATATCAATGCTCCAAAGCTTTGATGCATCTACCTGTATTCTTCTGCCATGGAGAAGAAAGGAATAGAAGGAGTCATTTTAATTGCGTATATTTTAATTCTGCATAGAGTTCGTAATGGGTTCTATCTCCTGTGGTAGAGCATTGTCTATAAAGGTCCACGTTCTCTATTATTCCCCATATAACAGAATATTTTGTATTCTGGTGATTTTATCTAAATTTTCTAACGGAATCGTTTTAAATTCGATTTACTGGGTTCTATATCTTGACGGAACATTTCCTATATAGCTTCACCATTTCCAGTAGTCCCACATTTTCAAGCGGAAGCGTTTCAAATTCGGTAGTAGGAGGTCGTTTTTTCCTTACCCTCCGTAGAGTTTTTATACCCTACACCACATTGTGGTAAACATTTGTTTGTAACATGGAGAAGGAAGCGAGATAGATCCATAGTTACTTTTTAGGATCATCATAGAATCACTTTCTGAGTCGAATTACGAATATCAGTCTGTATTTTTGTGAACAAATGCAGGTCGCATTTTTTTCCGATTGAGATGAAATTTTCCAAGCAATATTTGTTTGGCCCAAGGACGAATCCTATTGGTGAGAATCGGTTCAATTTAAATATTGGTCCCATATATATCTTCAACCGATTTCGGGTTAATTGTACACCAAATAACCAATACCTACCAAATGACCTGATTTTTGGCACATCCGATCGAATTCAGTCTAAAATCAAATACACTAGAGCCCCGACTTGCGTCACCCCGATATGGTGTATTGTGCACCAAATGGCTAAACTCAGCCCAAATGGACTGACTTTTGGCACTTCCGAGGGATTTCAGCCCAGAACCAAGTACCTCAAATATTGGTGAAATTCGGTTCAGATATACCTATAGCTCCCATATGTATGTTTCATCTGAATTGATATTAAATACCGGACATCAGATACAGCTTGAAAATATCTCTGTGAAATTTTATCGAAATCGGTTCATATTTGTATACCCTACACCACAAGGTGGTCAGGGTATTCTGTCTTTGTGCATTTGTTTGTAACAGGCAAAAGGAAACGAGATAGACCCATAGTTCCTTTTGATGATCTGCATAGAATCAATTTCTGAGTTGATTTATGCATGTCAGTCCGTCTGTCCGTCCGTCCGTCCGTCCGTCTGTCCATGTATTTTTGTGAACAAAATGCAGGTTGCATTTATTATCCGATTGAGATGAAATTTTCCAAACAACATTTATTTGGCCCAAAGACGAACCCTATTGAAATTGGAGATAATCGGTAAAAATTTAGATATAGCTCCCATATATATCTTCGTCCGATTTGCCTTTTATTGTGCACCAAACGTCTAATATTTGCCCAAATGGGATGGAATTTGGCACATACAACCATATTAGGCCTGAATATAAGTATGCCAAATTTGATGGAAATCGGTTCAGATATAGCTATATCTCCCATATATATTGTTCATCCGATTTGTTACTTTTGGCCGCCACAGCCGTAATATGCACTCTGTAACAACAATATTTGGGAAAATATATCAAATGCAGCTCAGAAATACCTTTGCTTAATTTTATCGAGATCGGTTCAGATTTGGATATAGCTCCCATACATAACTTCGTCCGATTTACCATTTATTGTGCACCAAAAGTCTAATATTTGTCCAATTGGGATGGAATTTGGCACATACGACCGAATTGAGTCTAGAAGGTAGTATGCCAAATTTGGTGAAGATCGGTTCAGATATAGCTATAGCTCCCATATATATTGTTCATCCGATTTGTTATATTTGTTACCCACAGCCGTAATATGCACTCCGTAACAACGATATTCAGGGAAATATATTAAATACAGCTCAGAAATATCTTTGCCAAATTTTATCGAGATCGGTTCAGATTTGGATATAGCTCCCATATATATCTTGATCTGATTTCAAATTAATTTCGCACCAAATGGGCAATATAAGTCCGAATTTAAAAGATACAAATGCTTCGGCATATTTAGTCCTTTGAATTTTAAATTATAATTATAATTATAATTATAATTATAGGGTGTATGATTGAATTCTCCCATAGAAACTTTTAATTGTTATATGGAGCAAAGTGGTGTAGTGTATCATAAATTCGGCCCCGCCCGACTTTAGGACTTTCTTTACTGGTTTTATATAACTTCGATACACATCTTCATCCGATTTAAGGTTATTGCCCACCATATATAGTGGCTGTGATCTACTTCATCTAAATTCCCAAATTTAAGGTTTTATTCAAATTTGGTATTTGAATCTCAATTTGGTATATGATAAGATTTTGTCTGGAATCTCCAACCGATTTAACTGGCAAAAATAAAACATGCTCCAATATTAAATCCTGATACATGCATTTTTAGAGACTTGCTTTACGTCATGATGGTGGGTTCGGCCTAGGCGAACTTAACGGGTTTTTAATTATTTTAGAGTCATTTTGACTAAAAATAGAAAACTTCAATTACAAATGCAATAAATCGTATTTCAATTCTCGATTTTCAATTCAATGCTATGAATTTTAAATGAAATTCACGATTTACTAAAAAAGGTGTGGATGGTTTTCAAGAGCTTTCCTTAGGTCTATAAACCAACCCCACAATTTAAGAAGTTGAAAAACAGTAAGTTCGGCCCGGCCGAACTTTGAATACCCTCCACCATTTGGAACGAATTTAGAAAATTTCAAAAAATAAAATCCTTAAAAAATTCTGTTAAAAAAAACCGAATATAGCCTTTATATTAGGGTCGTGGACCCACGTAGGCATTGTTTGTCATAAATCATTACCATATTTACATTCGAAACTTGAAATAAACGGTGAATAATGAGCTAAAATCATCAAAATATCGTATATAGGGAGGTACCGTTATATCGGAGCTGTGCGAAGACATGGACCAGCATAGACTATATTCTGTCATAGGCTGGAGCATCCATTACGAACTTCAAATACAACATCTCAAACAATTTCGGTGGGTATTGCATCTAAACTCGTTAAAATACCGAATATAGGGAGGTACTGGTATATGGGGCCTATACGAAGACGTGGACCTGCACAGACAATTTTCTGTCATAGGCTGTAGTATCGCTGATCAAGAATATATATACTTTGTTGGGTCTGAAATGAGTATTTCGAGGAGTTACAAACGGAATGACAGAGTTAATATACCCTCCATAGTATGGTGGAGGGTATAAAAATATTCTTTACATCGTATAGCTCTTCTGCAAATCACTGTGGTGTTCTTTTAACATCCAAAGCGTAGTATGAACACATACATATACACATGCGGACAATATGTAAATACACATATATGTTTACTTCTGTGTAATGTATATGTTTATGTCTAACACATGCCAGTACAACAACTTCCTGACAAAAGCAATATGGTGACTACAATGAACTATGGGATATTAGTCCGGGCGCCCTTGCGGATTTTGATGATACGGATAGACCAGAGATGAATATACATACAAACATATGTACATACATACCCACCAATCTCTATCTCACTCGACATATACTATGTGCTGCTACCCAACGATGAACCCAATGTCTAGCGTGGAAGTTGGATTGTGCCTACACATTGAAATGAAATGTTAGTGCTGCGCCCTGTTCGATAACCTTGTTGCTCTTCATTTTCTGTT